ATCTTTGAGGTCCCTTCCAACCCAAACCATTCTGTGATTCCATGATTCTCTGGGGCGCGGGTGATGTTTCCATTGCAGATGTCTGCCTGAGCTCGGTCTGCTCAGCATCTGCTCGTTATTCCCGGGTTCTTGCTGTAAGTAATCCTCTTGTCCTTTCCCGAGAGAGCGGTCCGGCTCTCCGGTGCCGAGGGAGGGCAGCCCACCTTGTCTGTCCGCGTCGCTCTTTTCCCCCTGAGGACCCCGAGCCGTTAACACAGTTTGTGTCTGTTCTTTAGCGGCGTTCCGGCAGCGCAGCTCGCTCTGGAGGGATCTTGGAGAATTGTGCTGGGAGCCCTGAGTTTGTTTCTTTTTGGTCACTGAAGCTGAACTTCCAAGGGCGGGCGCAATAGGACTGGGGCCAAACCTTGTTGGAATTCTGCCTGGGATCGTGGGATGCGCAGGGACGCGGCTGCTGACCCTCTGCTCCGCTAACGCACCGTTCTCTCCCTCTCTCCGCAGGAAAGCGAGGATGGCATTGAAGGAGATGGTGAGTAACGACTCTTTCTGCCGCTGCAAAAAGTAAAAACTGGACAAAATGCCTTTTCCAGTAGTCCTGCAGTTGCTGTCATCCCAAATATTACCTCGTCATAGCAGGCAAACGTGGGGTGCAGGGGCAGCGTGCCCCACACTCGCCCTCGGTGGTGTTCATCAGGTGAACCACGCTTGGTGCTGGCCTCGGGGGGACTGCTCGGAGTGTGTTTGCCAGCGGTTGCCCGCGGCGCCGCGCGTCATGCTCAGATAGAAACTGTGTCCCTGTTTGTGCCCTGACACCAAACTCCTTTCTCTCCCCCGCAGCTGTGCTCTCCGATTATGAAAGCGCAGAAGACTCGGAGGTAAGAGGAGTCTCTGTCCTGGTGTTTAAAGGGTTCTGCCTTGTGTAATTTTGGCACAAAACCCAGCTTGTGTCCTTCCTTCTCTCCCGCTGACCGCCGGCAGCGATCGCCTTTGTCTCCAGATAGCAGCTCGTGCGCCTCGCGCCAGCCGCG